TGTCAGGCTCACCTAATTTGAATGCTATTGTATACGGAGTATGTTATTCACAATATCCATTTTAGGGGATAATATTGGACAAATAATTATTATTTTATTATTATTATATTGAAAATATAGTAAATGTTTTTTATGTTATATTAAGCTAAGAAGTTAATAACTATATAATAAAACAATAAAGTAACAACTGGCAACAATGGTAGAGTGGATGAAGAACGATAATTGAAAACGGGTGTTGGGGTTCGACTCCCTTTGGACTCAAATTTTTTTATATTTGAAAAACATGTGAATGTAAATGAGATGACCTGGAGGCATGACCTGGCAAGCAAGTGACATGGAATCTCAATTAATCGGATTCCGCAGACATGGCGCGTCCAGCTCTGATGACAAGGCAAAAACACCCTTGTTTGGGAAATAAGTTTAAAACTACTCTAATTTGGGAAATAAGATTAGAAAGTACACCTAATTTGGAAAAAACTCACTCAAGGGGCCTCCACCAGCTTCTTTGGGACAGCTACCTCCACTGCAAGACCATCCTCTGGTTCTGGGACCAGCTCATTATCAACAGAGGGAGTGATGATATGGATGCATTCTGGGGTCGTGCTTATCAGCGAAGTGCCTAAACTTGGGCAGCAAGATTACTGTTATTATGATTTATTATTAGTTTCCTAATCATATTACTACTGTTGTTTCCTAATTCAGTTTTAGTAGTTTCTTATTATCAGTATATTCCTACTTGGATCTGGGCTCTCATGATATAAGGGGCCCTGGTATTGATTGTTAAAGTACTTTTGAAGAATTGTTTCTTGAGGGTCCTTGACTAGTTCAGACAGGTCCTTGACTAGTTCAGATACGAGATTAATTCCAATAAAGTCTAGTTATTTTCATTTCTTCTCTTGTGCTCCTAATAGATTTCAAAATTGATCTTTCTCTTCCCTGGTTCGCTTTTGTTATCTTGTTTGAGAGCTTGAACAAGATCTTGTTCACGCGCTCTTAACACACTATAAAATTGAGCATTCTCCATTAACAGGGTTCAATTAATAAGGAAATGATATACATAGCTTTTTATATCTTCATGTTAATGATCTCAAATTTACAAAGTTCTCAGCCTTCTGAGGTTGACCCACACTGTTAAGGAGGCTAATGATGCTATCATAGTGTTCTACAGATGCTTTAATATCATAATGTCCCGTCATCAAATTAAAAAACAGACAAGCATCATCTGCAAATCCCGCTTGCTCACAAGCAGATAGAACTGCCTTGAAGGTATAAGCATTTGGAGAAAAGCCCTTCGAGATCATCAGCTTAAAAGTCTCTAGTGCTTCCACATGTTGGTTATTGAATCTATAAGCCTCAATGATAGAAGTCCATGCCAATGATCCTTTATCTGCTACTGCATCAAAAAAATATCTGGCTTTATTAATTTCACTACAGCTGCCATACATTTTAATTATTTCTGCCAAAACATATGGGGAACGTTCAAGATCTTTCTTCAGAACTTGCCCATGCATTTCTCTACCAAGTTTCAGATTTCTAAGTTGACCGCATACTTTCAATGTTCTTCCTATTGCAACTGAGTCTGGTCTGTGATTTGACAACTGCATAGACCGGAAAACAGAAAGTGCTTCGTGCAGGCATCCAACTTCAATGTAGGATTCTATCATGGCTGTCCATGTTAGAACATTCCGTTCTTTCATCCCTTCAAACACTCTCAGTGAATACTCAAGCAGACCACACCTTGCATATGCTATGATCAGGGAAGTAGCAACAGGAACATTGGGCAAAATAGCATTTTTCAGAGCATAACAATGAATTTCCTTCCCTTGCACCAAAGCCTTCAGTTCCCCACATACTGGAAGGACTGTAGCAATGGTAACAAGATCAGGCTTAAGGCCTTCCTGTTGCATCCAAGTAATAGAACGTAAAGCTTGATCCAACCTCCCATTTGTCACATAACCAGACAACAAAGCAGTCCAAGAGATTGCATTTCTCTCCTTTGAACTATAAAACACCTTCCTTCCTGAGCTCAGATCTCCACACTTGCAGTACATATCAATCAGGGCAGATTGAATAAACAGTTGCTTGTTGTATTCCTTTACCTTGATTACATATGCATGTGCCTCCTGGCCAATTCTCCTTCCCCATAGTTCTCCTATTACTGGAAGAATTGAAGCCAGGATAACAGAATTCAATTTCATCCCTTCTTTCATCATCTGTCTTGTACACTCCAACGCCTCCCATCGACGACTATTATGAGCAAAACCCGCAATCATGGCACCCCAAGCTACGACGTCCCTATTTTCTATCTCATCAAAAACACGACGTGCAAGCTTAATCTTCCCACATTTGAAATACATATCCATCAGGCTAGTTCTAATTACATTACTACCCAGAAAGCCATTCTTCACCAGAAGACCATGAACTTTCAAACCATGTAGAAGTGCAGAGGCCCCCGCAAGACTCTTAATCAAACAAGAGAAACTATACCCATTCAATTCTACTCCCAAACACCGCATTTCTGAAAACATTTCTAATACCTCCTGATATTTACGGCCACCCAGCACCACATTTCCTCTGAGCAATGCATTCCAGTTGTAAACACTTCTAACAGGCAATCCATCGAGCACCCTCTCTGCATCCTCAACTGCCCCACATGCCGTGAGCATGTGAACAAGCTTTGTCTGCAAAAACTCATTCTTGTCAAGCCCATTGCTCCTAATATGCTTGTGCACAGCCTTGGCTTCGCTCGTGGCCTTCATCCGGATGCAGGCCTGGATAATGGAATTGAAGGTGGTGACGTTTACAGGAATACAGCGAAGGTCCAAGTAATCGAGGATAGTAAGGGCTTCTTTGAGCTTGTTGTCGCGGGCGAGTTTCTGTATATCTTTGTATATGGAATGTGGGTTTTTTGTGTGAATAGGCATCGAGTTTGGGAAAGCGTCCTGGTCCGAGAATTGCCATGGCGTTTGCACTTTCGTTTTTCTCTTGCTGAAATGTTTCTGCGGAACACGATGGGTCGTTGGTGATGCTTTGGTCTTGAGAGGAGCATAGCAGTGGCTTTGATGGGTTCTCACAGAGTTTGGGGGGAGAGAAAAAAGATGGTGGATAATTGGAGGAAAGGAAGCGGCAGTGCAATTGGTGAGCTCCATTAATAAGTTGTTCAGTTCGTCTTATTTTAATCTCGGTTTGCTATTGCTTCTTCACTTTTTTGTTTAACAAGTAATAAGAGTGTTTACAGATAGAGATTTTACATCCATCGGGCCGGACCGGACATATGAACGGTGGCTAGGATTTTATTCCCAGTTAATTGGTTTGAGGAATGGATGGAAATCATTTGCGGCACTGGAACAGGGAGTTAATTTCATTTCATTGATTGTTGGGTTCTACCAAATTGATTTCATTTCAGGTGGGGTAGGGAGGTAGCTGGGGCAGGGCTGGAAGAAGGCCTGGCTGGTGGAGCTGGCGTGGGTGAGAATGGGGGCTAAGGTAGGGATGGACTCGGTTCGGGCCGGGCCCGGTTCGGGCCTTGAACCAGCCGGGCCTCGGTTCACGGTTTGGGAGGCCCGGAACCGGCCCGGGTAACCCCGGGTCCGGTTCGGGCCGGGCCGCCCGCCCGGTTCACGGGCCGGGCCCGGTTCACGGGTCGGGCCCGGTTCACGGGCCGGGCCCGGTTCAGGCCGGTCCTTTTAATGTTTTATTTTTTTTTTTTGAAAATTATATATATTGTGTATAATTTACTTAGAAAAGTGATTTGATTTAGAAAAGTGTAAGGAAAGTGATATGATTTAGAAAATTATACATATTGTGTAAGGAAAATGTTTTTAATTTTTTAATTAAGTAAGACTATTTTTACTTAGAAAAGTGATTTGATTTATAATTTACAAATGTTACAAAATAGGTGTATAAGTTGTAACTTGTAAGTTTGTAACAAATTAATTAATTTACATATTAATATTACATATTTTAATTTAAAAACAACCTTTAGATTTTACAAAAATAATTTCAAGTTGTAAGTTATAAGTTTGTAAAATTGTAACCAATTAATTAATTTGAGAAGTGCTACATATGAAGTACAAGTTTACAAATGAATTTTATTGAATTGAATTATTGAATTGATGTACACAATAATATAAAATAATTCAAGTATATTTATTTCAAATAAGAAGTACAATTGAGAATTAGGATGCATTTAAAATATGTAATACATTTTGAAATAAAAAATCAATAGGAATCTCCGCCTTCGGTGGTTGTTTCCTCCATAAAGTGGCGGGTGGGAGCGATGGTCATTTCTTGAGTTCTTCGTTTGGCCTTCAACCAATCATGGAAGCAAACTAGCGTCTCAAGAGAGCTCGGGCTCAACCTCGTTCTATAATCAGTTAGGACGTTGCCGGCCGCACTAAATTCTTGTTCCACGACAACTGTTGATATCGGCATTGCTAGCACTTGCTTAGCCAGTTTTGATAAAACCGGGAACGTTCTTTCATTGTCCTTCCACCACTTAAGAACGTCAAAATCATCCCCAACTTCATAATCAACATTCAATGTTAGATACAAAGAAAGCTCGTTAACTGAGCTTTGTTCAGTAGCGGGAGTTGCTCTACTTTTTTTCATAAGAGAACCAAATACAGATTTTAAAAGTGATTTTCCTTTAGATGAAGAAGATGTTCGCGGCATGGGAGGGGGTGCATTACCATATTGTGCATAAAATTCATTATACAATTGATGAAATAAATTACTAACCTCGTTGTATTCTTGTTTAGGGTCGATGGGATTATCATCGAACTCTTGAGTTGGAAAAAAACAATTATAATAGTAATCTATACAAGTTGGCAACGCGGCAAGTCTATAACGAGGATCAAGAACAAATGCAATACCATATATATGCGGAACATGTGAATAATATTTTAAAAATTTTTGTTTCATGAAATCACAAAAATAACTAACGTAAGCGGCATCGGAAAATTCTAAAAATGCGCCGGCGAGATTAACAGCTTTAACAAAAAACTCGTTTGCGGTAGGTTTATAAACATGACTAAAAGTTTGAGTTGCGTTATTAAAATATACCAAAACATTAACAATTTTTTCACAAGTGTCGATGTCAGACGGGTTTATAATATAGTTACAAGTTTGCCTTAAAAAAGCAGGAAAATGATCTTTATATCTAATAAGTACTTGAATTAAGTTATAAGTACTATTCCAACGAATAGACAAATCTTTAGGAAAAGCACAATAATTGACACGTCTTTCCTTCAAATATTGCCGCCATTGCATTTTTAGTGGAGTGTGAGCCCAAATCAATTTAATCCCCCCCTTCACTACTTCCAAAGCATTTCCTAATGCCGCTAACCCATCTTGTACACACAAATTTAGAATATGACATGCACAACGTTGATGAAAAAACCTACCCATCAATGTAGAAGCACCACACAATTCACGCAATCTAGGTATAGCAGCAGTATTATTACTAGCATTATCAAAACCTACAGCAAACACATTATCAAGCAAATTATACTCAATTAAAATACGCTCAATGAGAATATAAATATTATTAGCAGTATGACGATCATTGAATTCACGAAAAGCAAGAACACGTTTATGCATATTCCAATCATCATCAATATAATGTGCAGTAAGACCCAAATAATATAAATGATGATAAGTATCCTCCCATATATCGCTACAAATACTAACACGTCCATTAAAGTTTGCGAAAAATGTTTGTAAATTTTCTTTTTCGAAGTTATATTGCCTTATAACTTCTTTTTAATCGTTTTGCGACTATAATTTCTAAATTGAGGATTTAAAGTGCCTTGAGCATAATCTCTTAAAGCAAGACTTTCGGAAAAAATATAGGGTAAATTTTCTTCAACAATTAAATGAGACATACCAGTCAAATGTTTTTGATCATCATAGGAGAAATTACCAAAGGGTTGAGAATTTGCAAACCTCGATATTTGTGTTTGCTTCCCCTTGCCCTTGTCTATTTTCGCATACTCCACAAGATGGGCGGACTTAAGATGCCTTGTGAGACTCCCGTATCCGCCAGAAGTTCCCAAGCTATACTCTTTGCCGCAATGATTGCAACTTGCGTACCATTTTTCGGTATTTTTGTCTTTCCTTTTTGTAAAATTGTTTTCAATAATAGGAGATTTAAATTTCTTACCAGTTTGGGTTGAACCGCCCTCGTCCTCCAAGTCTTGCTCATCATCCGGGGTGCCGTGAGTCCCGTCGCCCCCCGCGTCCTCCTCCGCATCGTCATCCTCGAGCTCCTCTTCATCAATGGTTGTCGGGATGAGTTGTTCTTGTGCAAAGCGTGGATCGTTTTGGGACAATAGGTTTTGTAGATGCTCATCGGACATCATCATATCATCTCTCCGTTGGTAATCCGTTTCAAAATCATCTCGACTTTGAAAAGAAGACTCGGTCCGCGCTTTACCTTTGCCTTTGCGTGAAGTAGGACGAGTCGACGCAATCTCCCTCTTGCGGTTGCGTTGGAGATTACCCACATCTACAGAATGTCTACCACGTTCCATCTTTAAAATTGAACAAATATTAAATGATATCAAATATTTTATATGAGTACAATAGTAATAATAAAATGTGACTAAGAAAACTATTGCAAATTCGAACTAAAATATGAGTATAAAAATCGAACTACTTCTAATTAATACTTTAATGAGAAATGTATCAATTAACTAAATATTAACTAGTTTGACTAATATAAATATGAGAAATGTAAAAATTAACTAGTTTTTTTTTTACTTTAATGAGCAATGTACAAATTAACTAATATTAATATGAGAAATGTAACAATTAGGTAGTTTAACTAATATTAATATGACAAATTTAACAATTAACTACTTTAGGTAGTTTTTAAAATGACAAATGTAAAAATTTACTAGTTATTTTTACCTTAATGAGAAATGTATACTTTAACTAATATTAATATGACAAATGTAAAAATGTACTACTTTTTTTACTTTAATGAGAAATGTAGCAAGTAACTAATATTAATATGAAAAATGTACCAATTAAGTAGTTTAACTAATATTATTATGACAAATGTAAAACTTAACTAGTTTTTTTTTTACTTTAATGAGCAATGTATGAAATAACTAATTTTAATATGACAAATGAAACAATTAAGTACTTTAACTAATTGAAATATGACAAATGTAAAAATATACTACTTTAACTATTTTTTTCTTTAAAGAGAAATGTAAAGAAATGTAACAATTAACTAATTTAATAGATAAATTAGAAGTCTAACAATTAACTACTATTATAAGTAATATATAATATAATGTTTATAGTATATAATATATAAGTATATTACTATAAGATGAGTAATACACTTATACTTAATACTTTAATATATATATATAAGTATATATTAACTAAATGTAATATGTAAATATAAGTAAATAACAATAGTATGTATAAAAACTAAATATCAAATAAATATGAATGTGTATAAGTATATATAGTATATATAATGTGTAAATATATTATAAGTAATATATAATATAATGTTTATAGTATATAATATATAAGTATATTACTATAAGATGAGTAATACACTTATACTTAATACTTTAATATATATATATAATTATATATATATATATATATATATATATATATGTATATATTAACTAAATGTAATATGTAAATATAAGTAAATAACAATAGTATGGATAATAACTAAATATCAAGTGAATATGAATGTGTATAGTATATATACTTATGTAGTATATATAATGTGTAAAGAATTATAATATGAATGTGTATAAGTATATATTTATAAATAGATAATTAATATATAAGTAGATATAATAATTATATAAATTATATATATGTAGAAAGAATTTGGAGAAGATGAAGAATGAAGATGATTGAATATGAGAGATTTAGAGTAGAGAATTAGAGAGTAGGAAGAGTTGTAGAAGAAGAGGTGTAAAAAATGTAGAGAAAATAGGAGTTTAAATAGATTTTTTTTTGATACCCCACCCCCCACCCGACCCCCCTAACCCCCCAGACCCCCCCTCCTATGTTCCCAACGGCTATAGAGCCGTTTGGGAGCCTTCCCAACGGCTAGGAGCCTCTTCAAATTAAAAAAAAAAAATTAAAAAATTTGGCCGTTGGAGGCCCGAACCGGGCCCGGCCGGGCCGGGCCGGTTCCCTAAAATGGAGGCCCGGGCCCGGACCGCTATACCACCGGGTCGGGTGGCCCGAACCGGTTAAGAACCGGGTGACCGGGCCGGTCCGGGCCCGCACAGTAGCGGGCCGGTCCGGGCCCGCACAGTAGCGGGCCGGTCCGGGCTTGCACAGTAGCGGGCCGGTCCGGTTCCGGGCCGGTTGGCCCGGCCCGAGTCCACCCCTAGGCTAAGGCATTTCAGGTCTGGCTTTGGTCGACGCAGGGGCTGGGGAGGTTGGAACTGGGTCGGCTGGTCAGAGTCGAAGCTTGTGAGGTGGGTGGGCTGTGGGGGCAGGTCAGGGGCGGGGCTAAAGGGTGCTAGGGACTAACGGACTGTTTGGATTGAGTGTTGAAGAGTGTTAGCAATGGAAGTGTTAGTAAGTGTTGATGCTAACACTTGTTTGGGAGAAAAAACCAGAGGTGTTAAGAAGTGTTAGTAATGGTTAGGAAGTGTTAATAATAACCTTCCCAACACCTCAATTGTCAATTTTTTTAACACCCCGATTTGGAGTGTTTTGAGGTGTTGGACAATTATTACCCTTCTCATTTGCCCGAAAAACATAAAATGCTTCAACATTTCACTTCGAATGTCTTTCCCACGGGTCTGATGGTTTGTTTTTCATCTCTTCTCTTTACTCTTTCTTTACTCTTTCTTTAACACTTCCATTATTAACACTTCATTCATTTGACTCTCCCAAACAAGGTAAAATTATGTCTAACACGTACACTTCCCTTCCCTTCCGAGCCCTTACTAACACTTACTAACACTTCCATTACTAACACTTCCAAACACTCCATCCAAACAGGCCCTAAGGAGGTGGTTTGGGAGTTGGGGAGGGTGCTGACGACGACAGTGGTATGCCAAGTGTGTCCGGAAAGTGGCGGCGGTGTATGGAGTTGGGCAAGCAGTCACTGTAATTGGAGTCACTATGGCCGGTGGACGAGCAGTCATGTTAACCAGAGTCACTGTGGCCGAAGTTACTTTGGTCGGAGTCACTGTGACGGCGGAGCCACTTTGGCGACGAAGTCACTGTGGCAGCAAAGTCACTATTGGTTGGAGTCATTGTGCCTGACTCACTTTGCCACTTAGGGTTTAATTGTGATATTGGTCACATTTTTGGAAATTTTAAAAAGAGATTATTTTTTTGTCATTTATCCTCCTTTTTTCGTAATATCTAGACCAAAAGGTCTTAAACATAGATAGTATAAACTTTAAGAGCCTCTTTGATAAAATTGGAATTGGCTTAATCATTTGAATCTTTTAAAATTAATGAAATTCTAGCTGAAGCGGTCAAATTAGCTGAATTTGAAAAAAAAATTATAAAATATAAAAAAAATTATATGGAAAAATAGTTAAAATTGTCATCTACGGTAGTTTAAGTCAATTCAACTGGAAAGGTAAGTTTCTCTTTACTTATTTTGATTATTACACATTTCACCACACGAAATTGAAAGTTACGTATTTCATGTTTGTTGAAAATTCATTGAACCAGAAATAACGAAATGAGATATAGTCGGCCATGAAATGACGAAATGGTATTATTATATAGACAAACAAATGTTAGTTTTGTTTGAAGAATTGGCATTCCCAGGCAACAAAGTGATTGTTTATACTGTTTGAGCTCAGATAGGAAAATACATATGCTTATCATGGAATAAGTGATAAACAAGAAAATTTGATCGTTGGATAACAAGAAAAACAAATTATACTCGCCAAAAACTTGACAAACGTCTTAATTACACGACTTTCCGCTCAAATTCTGCGAGTTCTGTAGATGGTGTAAGCCAACAGAAGTGGTACCGACATGCTATAAATTGGGAAATGGATAAATGGATTCATGTCATACGCTTTACAAAGATCTCTGCAATTCTGCAGGAAAAAAAAGTGTTAATATGGACGAATGGTAAATTAGACACCAGTTTTTACTCTTAGTTGATCCATAAAAAATCATATATTTTGAAGGGAAAAGGTGCAAATAGGCCCATGTACTAACCAAAAAAGGTCAAATAAGCCCTTATTTAGGAGGCTTTGTCCGGCCGTCGCCATTTGGAGTGGTTCCCGGTGGAATTTTTTGATGAAATTTTTTTAACATCTTATTCATTAAGTCTAGTTTACTCATATCAAATTTCAGCTAAAACTTCAATCGGGAAGGCATTCAAATGAATTCTTGAAGATAACTGCGCTTCTAACTGCGCAGTTATTTTCAAGAATTCATTTGAATGCCTTCCCGATTGAAGTTTTAGCTGAAATTTGGTATGAGCAAACTAGACTTGATGAATAAGATGTTCAAAAAATTTCATCAAAAAAATCCACCGGGAACCACCCCAAATGACGACGGCCGGACAGAACTTCCTAAATAAGGGCTTATTTGACCTTTTTTTTGTTAGTACATGGGCCTATTTGCACTTTTTCCCTATTTTGAAATAAACAAATATGAATTGTGAATATTAAAGAGGGAAATTATCTAGAGAACCCTAAGAAACCGAAAACTGAGTTTCAGAATAAGAACATCCTGTATTAGTCTTGAACTCTTGCTCCATGGATTCCATTAGTTTGTGTACTACAGAGATGCTAACCAGAAAGCAATTCCATCTAAAAAGGGTCAAGGAAAGTACTGTGTCTATATCTTGACATTTCAAAAAATCGGAGCAGAATATCGAATTATATTGACATCGGACTTCAACCCGGGTTTGTTTTTAACTTGATTGAGTGTGGATGTTAATTTGATTGCGGGATCATCCAAACAAACCCTATTTACAAAAAAAACAAAAAAAACTTTAAAGTCTAAAATTAAATAAAATGAGGAAAATAGCTTACCAGAAAATGATACCAACATATTGCCAGACTTATAATCAGTACTATCTTCCTAATCAACCGCACACGGAGAAGTACGAATCTATAGTCACCTCTTCCACATGTGGATGAAGATATCTCATTACTCTTCACATCAGAATCATCTTTTTTCCTAGAAAGTGACCGGAGAGAATCTTGGTATATTCCTCTTTCAACCAAAAATGCTACCATAACCAAGATTGCAGGCAAAACAACAAAACAAAGATGTGGAAGCACAACCACCATTACATCTGGAAACCCAAAAACACTTGGCTTTTCACTTGGCATTTCATTTGTATTGGATCTCAATATCCAACCTTGATATGTCATGTATCCTCTTTCTCCTTCCATGAGAACTTGGCCACAAAGCCAAGGACATAATATGAGGTAAAACAAGTAACTGACCATGCAATACCACAGCCGAGGAACACTGTATATGTCCACAAGAGTCCGGGTTGTGTAGTTTAATAACCCTCTGTTGGCAATCAGTTTTTTATATGCATATTGTTTTCTGAAAAATACTAAGGTAGCTTTTGGAATCAGAAGAATGGATAGGGCAAAAAAGTAAAAGGACCACAAGATGGGGTAATATAAAGCATCCCATTGACAACCCATAACGAAAAACTCTTTCCAACTCCATCCGAGCTTTGCTCGCTGACCACTAATGGAAAAGGGCCGTAGTTCAGTCAAAGTTGAGTGGCCACTAATATCAAGCGCTTCAATTTTCAACAAGAATCGTTCAGGAGATGGATCTTCAAAGGCTTTATAGTTCCATGGACAAGTATACAGGTCTCCCCTGGATAGGGCATTCCCAGTTTTCTTCATAGGAGACTCAAATACAACTATGAGATTACCAGGCCTCGAGTCATAAATCCTGGCTACAACAGATACAATTGGAGAAGAGGAAAACAAGAGAACTCTGATTTCACTATAAAGTAGAGGGTCCACATACAGAGATTCATTACTCTGAAACTGCTTGTCTGAGATAAAGCGAGAATCAAGGGGAAATGTAGGCAATATGATTGTTTTCTTTGCCCCGGATCTGAAGTCAACGTCTACAAATGAAATCCAACCTCTATCAATGGCCAAAATGCGCATAGCTCTACTCTTCCTCCAATCACCTACTTCCCACTCCCAAAATTCATATCTTCCCTTGAGAGAAAACTCATTAGGTGTTTCAACAGGTAACCCTTGTCCATTCAACTGAAAGAATTGTTGGTGATTTGATTCATGATGCCGCTTCAAATTATTCCCAAACCTTGTATGGAGATGCCCACACAAGTACGCTGACAAGGAGTGCATCAGAAATATGTCCTTTAAAGTCCTTCCGGAATAAGCTGCAGCAGAAAAGGAGAGTGGAAAGTGGCCGAGGGAAATTTTAATGACAGGTTTTCTAGGTAGGGGATCAAATTGTGAAAGCTCGGAGCTTATATCGGTTAGCAATTGGTCATTTGGATGACCAAACAAATTTGTTGGACCCCGCAAACCTAAAGATGTGGAGCTGTCGAACTCAACAAAAAGTAGATTGTGCCCGCCAGTCTGAACCAATATGAAAGCATTAAGCAAGTAGAAAATGCTGCAATGGGTACTTACTGGAATTACTTCTGGAAGCTAATCAATATATGCACTAAATGAATGTGTAAACATTTGTGCAGAGTAATATAAAAAACGAATTACTGAGCAGAACCCATAAAGAAGCCAATAGCCAGTAAGGAAGAATTCTTCTTTAGATGGCTGTTGACAGTTGTAGTTTTACTGTTCAAAAATTTACTGATATAAGAAATGGCGACTTACCAACTAGCCCCACAATACTGTAAAATTGACCAAATGTTCTTGATGGTATGTTGCATTTTCACTAAGGCAGGTTGCTAACATGAATAGGGATAAGTGGATGACAACTGCAGCATTACAAATAACAACATGATTCAGTTTCCATTTGCCTACTTCTATCAGCTTCTCCTATTCAAACCAATATATTAAACATTGGGTTACCCTTCCTTGTGACATCCCAAAATATAATAAATTAAAGGAAAAATTGATAGTAATAATCCCAACTATTGGTGGTCCGCTCATAATAATCCCAACTATTGATTATTACAGAATAATCCCAACTTTAGGGACCTTCCGCCAATAATGGTCCCTATGAATAAATTCTTGTAGTTTCTTAAGTGGATGAGATAAGATATAACAAGTAATCCCTATAAATAATCTCAACTTTTAATTTTTACGCTTAATTTCTATTTAAAATTCACTTTTTATAGAGGTAATATATGGCCATGGACCATTATTGGCGGATAGTCTATATAGTTGGGATTATACAAAAATAATCAATAGTTGGGATTATTTTCAGCGGACCAGCAATAGTTGGGATTATTATTTTCAATTTTTCCTAAATTAAAAACTGAGAATCATCACTTCGGCCAATACAACAACAATATTACCCCATTGCCGCAAAGGAAGCGCAAACAGTTTAGTGAGCCATTTTGCTTTATTCCATCATATTCACAAGCCAAAAAATAGTGAGTCTTTGGCTCCATTGGAAATGATGGAAATATTACTCCGGCCAATGCAGAACATAATTTACACTAACAGCTTTGTTTCTTAGACATCCATGTTATGAAAGAATGGAGGACCAATAAATTAGTCAGATTAGCAACATAATGCAAAGACAAGAAAAGGGCCAGCAGAAATGATAAAGGCCTTATACTTTCATTCATCTTCTAAAAGATCAATTAGTATCATCATCATATTTCCGATTTTACTTCTTGGCTTCCTCAGAGTGGTTAAAACCAGCAGAAACAGATAATAAAAATAGCAAACCTCCAGTGTGACACTGTTAACTGGTCCTCCTCTTCCTAGCTGCCCATTGATGCTATATTTAGAGTAAAAATCAAATGAACCGCCAGTCTTCGGCACACCAAAACTATCATGGTTTCCTCTGAGATCATAGAAATTGCTCCTCTTTAGCCCACTTCTTTCAATGACATTGTCCATTACTTTCTGATATTCTACCCACTCTGCTTCATCCTGCTTCATTGTTAATAAATCTTTGCTTTTCCCATCTACAAGAAATCAAGAAAGATTAAGAACATTTGGTGTAAGTGTAATTTGAAGTACAAATGCATTGATGTTTTGATCAATGCATCCATAGTTATATATAAGAGACCACACACTTCATAGATTCTGAAACAAACTCAATAACTAGTAACCATTTTAAAGACCCAAGCACTATTTCCCTGTCAAGAATTTGTTGAAAGTGTATATGGCTAGAAGAATACATAAATGTCCACGAAGAATGTTGCTAAAAGAAAATCTCATTGATTATATACGCTTTCAACATTGCATGAAAATAGCCCTTATTTCATGGTTTCTTTGGTATACTAGTGTGCCACTACAAAGTTGTAGCATCCTAGAACTTTACCCAATAACAAATCTACAACCTAGTTTCTTTTCTTTTCATCATCAAGCCACTCTCTATATCTGGCTATCCGCTATCCTCTTCTCAAGAAGGACGAATCAATACACCCCAGATTCTCAAAGTTGTGGTATGAGATTGGACAATTCAGCAACTTGATAATGAATGCAACGGGCTACTTGATCCTCCAAACCCCCTATCCCCTTTGCCAAAAGTGTCTTTTATCTGTATAATTGCAAAATGGAAACCTTTCACCATACACCTCACCTTAGAAGTCAACAGTAATTGCAAAATGGAAATCATCTCTAATATTATTTAATTCTCACATGAAATAAACAGCCTCAAAGATCCTCTGCTTTTTCATTCTTCCTATAGTCGGACGCTTCACAAACCAATTTTTTTCATTTTGTTTTCGAATTTCCAAACAAGCCTAAAAAAAATTGCTTTCTTTCATCATAGAGAGCACAGCCAAAGTGCCAAACAACTGCATTTTTGACACCCAACAAAATATATCCCTCCATATCATGGAATAACCAACCCCTGAATCTCAAATGTCAACATTCCAACTTTTCCCACAAAGGCCACAAACAATCAAACTAAATTGATCGCAAATTCCAACCTCTGCTAAAACAAAGGTATTCAAAATATAATTCTCAAAACCCTTTCAATTCTTTGCAAATAACTAATCACTAAAAGCTCAATAGTCAATACTAAACAAAACAGAGTTATAATGATTATGTTTCATCCTATTTTTATAAACATAGTGTCCTACAGGCAAACTTAGGGTGATACGCCCTTTGGTGCTGTTCATAGGCTTCATGACCATTTCCTCGTCTCCCGCTGCCTCTGTTGTCAAATTTTAGTGTAAAATGATTCCATCCTACTAACATTTTACTCTTATAAGATATTGTTCATTAACTTTTTCTGACGGATAACGTAATTGAAAATTACAACGCTGAGTCACTATCCCTGACAAAAAAAATCACTAGTCATCATGTTATTCCGTCCTTTGCCAAAACTATAGTTCGTTACCCCTTAATTACCGATGACTGAAATCACCGAATTGCTAATCATCTCACTAAAAAATTCAATAAGCAAACCAGTGAAAACACTAATTAAACTACTTCCTCCATCCCAGCTTAAGCATCTCACTTGCCTCTATTGGACGTCCCAACTAGAGCTTCCTATTTCTCTTTGACCTCATCATATTATAAACCCATCAAAACTACTTCTCAAAATATACTCGAATAACCTTATTTAATTATTGTCTAAATAATCGTGCCATTTTTCAGTGAGAAGTTTAAGCCGGGACGGAGGTAGTACAAATTATAGGCCAATTTCTAATCATTACTAATCGTCGCGTTAATCCCGGTAATTCTTTCCTCCTTGGAAATAGCCCAATTTTTTATATCTTCATCCTTAGATTTCATGATGTGAAATTTTCTGCCGCTAGTAGTTAAAATAGTGTCATCCTGGTTGTCATGAATAATGTAATTGTTAATTAAATGCTGAACCCGCAAAAAAAAAACTATTAATCACCAATCACCCATTCATCCCATAATCCCGCTAATCAAAACGCTAAGAATGTAATTTTAACCGTTAATTATCATGTTAAACCCGCTTATTGTACACGAATAATTGAATCTAAAATTTGATTAAGCGGATTGTTATGTCACTCGTCGAATCACCAAGAGTCATTTGTCCAACTTGATGATCTTTTCACTAAACTATAACAATTCAACAAATTGCTTCAAGTTAGTGATGCGTTTCTTTTACCCATTCTAAATCTAATTCGTGCAACTCATATTGCTCACCCTAATCAAATTGCTGATATTTGACTAATTTATTGGGAGCCAATCACCCCAACCAATTAATTCTCCACTTGGGCATCTGTTAAAATTCTCCCTCCAGATATTAGTCTATATATTGCTACATGACCTAATTGGGCTAATAGGCCTAAAGGCTTGGTAGTAATTAAATGTATTTTTTTCATTCTCTATTAGACTAGTATTCTAATTAGTAGTACTTGTATATCTCAGGCTCAAAGTTAAAATGCTCAAGAAGCTGTAAAGCTATCAACAAGATCATTTATATCTTTATGGAACATATACTTAACAAGAGTGGATTCATGAACTTTAAAGTAATAAAACTATACAAAGATAAACAATTGAGATGAATGAAAGGTGGTTTACCGGTCAGATCACCAGTGATAAAGACCAAGGAAGGGTTGACCATGGCGAGAGTAGGGCCTACGATGGCCTTGAAGTCATGAGCTCTTTCGGGATGATGTATGCTAAAGTGGAGATCAGAGAGCTGAACCACCCAGGCCACATCATCTGGTCCGCCTTTCAATTCTAAACTCGACCTCTTCCTGCTACGTCCTCCATGCATCGAAGCTCCCTCTTCTATTTGAGAAAATGCCTGCGTGAAACTGGTCGCTCTCCTGCACGAGCTCGATACGAGGATGATGAGTACAACAGGCCAAATTACATTTATACCCCTCGCCATTTTCTCCTGCAAACAAGCACGCGGACATGTGCACTGAATAGGAATTTTCACAGGATGTGGCCACAGGATTTGGCCAAGTGCCGGCCAAATTACCAAATTTGGTAAAAAAAAGAGGGCTCTTAGATGGTAAAAAAAACAATTTGAGACAAATTAGTAAACAAAAGAAACCCTCGTGATAAAATGGTCATTTTTTTAGAGTGATAAACCTTTGATCCCCGACTTTAGAATTTTCGACATTTCATATTATAAGTATGAAATTGACATTTGCAGTCCTTTTACTTTGATTTTGTCATCAAAAGTAGAGGTCTAAAAATGTCAACGACTGTGTTTGATAATAGTGAAATTGTCGAAAAAACCATCCAAGAAACAATAGAATTCATGAATGAAAAGGATGCTAAGCCATCCGGCCTAACTGTGTTTAATCGTGGTATTGATCTTCAGATGAGATAACTATTTGAAAATAGCCGAAAAAACCATCCAAGAAACAATAGAATTCATGACTGAACACTCTCTCTAGCATCTCATCCATGAATGGAAGGGGGTAAATGGTCTTTCATTGTGCCGGCATTCAATTTCTGATGGTCAATGCACATCCTCCACCAGGTAACCATTCTAGTAGGAATTGATTCATTCTTGCTATTGGTTGTAACGGCGTACCTCCTTTCCTTGGAACTACTTGCATGGGGCTCACAAAATTGTTATCGGATAAAGAGTAGATGATACCATAGTCAAGAAGTTTGAGAACTTTCTCCTTGACCATCTCCTTCATGTTTGGATTTAGCCTCCTTTGATGTTCTACCATCGGTTTGTGATTTTCCTCCATGAGGATCTGATGCATCCATAGAGTTGGGCTTATACTCTTGATATCTACCAACGACCAAGTTATTAATAATTTGTGAGCTCCCAATACCCAAAGTAATTTCTCTTCTTGTAAAGGAGGAAGAGTAGAAGAAATTACCATCGGATATGTGGAGCCATCGCCAAGAAAGGCATATTTGAGATGTGCCAATAGGGGTTTGAGAGTAGGTTTTGGAGAAGTTTAACTTGATGGTTTGAGGATGGACTTTCTTTGCCCAAAGTCTTCAAATCTTTGTCATTAGGGTCTATGAACGACTTTTCCTTGTAAGAACATCATTTGTTGGAAAATTTCGGAATCTTCCTCCTCTTCGATGTGTCCTAGTGTAAGACATGCTTCAAGTGGGTCTTTGTGAATCTCTCTTTCAAACATCTCTCGAGTTATAGTATCAATGATGTTAATACTAAAACATGTGGAGATATCATGATGTTTCTTTAATGAATGCCACACATGGAATTCTTGTTCATCTTCTCCCACCCGGAATTTAACAACTCCGTTCTTGACACCAATGAGGGCGGCGGCGGTAGCTAAGAATGATCTTCCAAGAATAATTGGAATTTTCATCTCTTCCATTTCTAAGATGAGAAAATCTACCGAAAAATAGAACATTCCCACATTGACTAGAACATCATCCATGACACTCAGTGGATAGCGCATTGTTTTATCCGCCAATTGAAGAGCAATTGATGTGGATTGGAGTTCCCCCACACCAAGATTTTTAAATAGGGAATGAGGCATAAGATTTATACTAGCTCCGAGATCACAAAGAGATTTTACCTTTCTAATTTTTCCAATAGAGCATGGGACGGTGAAGCTTCCAGGATCCTTCAACTTTGGGGGAAATTTATTTTGAACAATTCCACTACACTCCTCCGTTAGTGTCACGGTTGCAAAGTCCGCTAGTTTCTTCTTGTTTAAGAGAATCTCTTTTAGAAATTTGGCATAAGAAGAGATTTACGCAATAGCCTTCGCGAATGGTAAGTTGATGCTTAATTTGGTAAAAATATCAAGAAATTCTTTGTATTGTTTACCATTATCCTTCTTTCTCAACCTTTATGGATATGGGATAGGAGGAACATAATTGGCCATTGTTGATAGTGGCGGTATATGTTCCTCCGACTCCTCCTCTTCTTGTGCCACCAGTGCCTTCTCCAGAGCTTTAGGGTCCTCCGTTTGTTTGTCACTTTGTGTCGTTATGGGTTGATGAATTTTTCAGTTTTGATCTTCAAACCGGAGATCAAGCTTTGTGACTTGAGAATGGAGATTCCCAATGGATGCCTCCATTCTACTATGATTCTCCTCATTTGGGGCTCTTACACTAGCCACAACATTTTGGGTGAGAGTTTTCATCATCACCTCCTTGTTTGTTCTTTTTTCCCTTGTGAAAACTCGGATGGGGGGATTAGAATGACCTTCTTGTGGTTTCCAAGAGTTACCTTGGTTTCACCTTTGTTAATTGTTGGAATAGTTGTTACCTCCTTGATCCCCCCTATTCCCATATGACTTCATATAATTCACATCTTCAAGAGTTTGAAGTGAATTACATTTCGGTTGCCTTGGTTTCACCTTTGTTAATTGTTGGAATAGTTGTTACCTCCTTGATCCCCCCTATTCCCATATGACTTCATATAATTCACATCTTCAAGAGTTTGAAGTGAATTACATTTCGGTTGTGCTATACTTTCCACATTAGCCACTTGTTTGGCCCCTCCAATCATGGCTTGTAGAGCCGTGTGAATAGAAGCTTAAAGATCCTTGTGCATGGCTTGTTGAAAATCAGCAAACCGTTTGTCCAATTCGTGAGCTATAGACATCTCACTCACACCGGCCACCTAAATATCTCCTCCTTGTAATTGAGGATTTGAAGCGATGGATTCAAAGATTCTCAAAGCTTCTGTTTCAATTTTATTGCCAATATAGTCTTCCGCACGAATATCTACAATGGCTTGGCATGAAGAGTTCAAACCATTGTAGAATGTGTCAATTTGAAGATCAAAAGGAATGTGATGATGTGAGTATTCCTTCAACAAGGCGTTAAAACGCCTCCATGCGTCTTGTAATAGTTCTCCAACTTGTTGTTTGAAGTTGAAAATTCGTTGCCTTAGCTCTTGAGTAATTATGGATGTGTAATACTTTGAAATGAAAGCATTATAGATACATTCCCACGTTGTATAGGTTGCCAGTGTTTGCTCCAAGAACCACCCCTTTGCCGTCCCTTTCAAGGTGTAGGGAATGCTTTTGAGTTTGAGGTCGTCTTCGGTGAGACCATGCCTATGGATCCCTTGGATGAATCCATAGAACTCAGTGATGAAGTTAAGTGGATTCTTCCCCGGATGACCATGAAATTGAGGCATAGCATTGAAGTAACTATTTTTCATTTCATAGTCCATATCCACTTCACTTAGGACAATAAATGAGGGAGTGACAGCAATTTTTGAGTTTTACAACTTAAATATGAAATACATTTTTCAAAAAATACTAATACAATACATTCTAAGTTGTAAGTTGTAAGTTTGTAACCAACTAATTAATTAATTAATTAATTTGAGAAGTGCTACATATAAAAACAAAAAGAATGTATATTTATTTGAAATATGAACTACAACTTTACAAATTACAATAGAGTATTGAGGGAAAAATTAAAACATGAAATACATTTTATAATAAATTGTGAAATACTAATCAATCGGAATCTCCGGCATAGGAGCCACCCTCGGTTGTTGATTCATCCATAAAGTCTTGGGAGGGGGTGATGCTAATTTCTTGACATCTACGTATGACCTTCAACCAATCGTGGTAGCATATAAGCGTCTCAAGAGACTCAGCGCTCAAACTCGTTCTAGATGCCATTAGAACGTTGCCGGCCGAACTAAATTCTTGTTCCACGGCAACTGTTGAAACCGGCATTGATAGCACTTGCTTAGCCATCCGTGCCAAAATCGGGAACATTCTTTCTTTTGACTTTCACCACTTTAGAACGTCAAACTCCTCATTTTCGTCAAATTCTACCTCATAATTTATATACAAAGAAATCTCATTAAGTGCGCTTTGTTCAGTAGTGTGAGTTGTTTTAGTTTTTTTCATAAGATTGCCAAAAGCAGATTTAAAAATGATTTTCCTTTAGATGAAGATGTGTGTGTCGGGGGAGGGGGCGCGTTGCCATATTGTGCATGAAACTCATTAAATAAGACATAAAATAAATTACTAACCTCGTTGTATTCAACTTGCGGATCTATGGCATTATCGTCATACATTGGAAATGGACCAAAAAAAGCATTATAATAGAACTTCAAACATTCTTCCAAATTACCAAGTCTATAACGAGGATCGAGAATAAATGCAATACCATAAATATGCGGAATATGTGCATAAATTTTAAAAACTTTTCCTTCATAAAACCACAAAAATAACTCACGTAAGCGGCATTCTCAAATTCATTAAAAGCACCGGCGAGATTAACAACTTCACGAATAAATTCGTTTGAGGTAGGTTTATAAACATGACTAAAACTATCAGTTGCATTATTAAAATGGATCAAAACATTACAAATTTTTTCGCACGTGTCGATGTGAGCGGGGTTTAAAATATAGTTATCATATTGTCTTAAAAAGTAGGAAAATGTTCTTTATATCTAAGAAGAACTTTAATTAATTTATAAGTACTATTCCACCGAATAGACAAATCTTTAGGAAAAGCAACATATTTCACACCTCTTTCAATCAAATAATTTTGCCATTTTAGTTTAAGTTGACCATTGCCCCAAATACGTCTAATCCCCCCCTTGACTACCTCCATAGCATCTCCTAACGCTTTTAGACCGTCTTGCACACTTAAATTTATAATATGGCATGCACATCGTTGATGAAAAAATCTACCTATCAAAGTATTAGAACCACATAATTCACGCAATCTAGGTATAGCAGCAGTATTATTAGTAGCATTATCAAAATCTATAGCAAACACCTTATCAATCAAATTATACTCAGTTAAAATACGTTCAATCAAAATATAAATATGTTCAACGGTGTGACGATCATTAAATTCACGAAAAGCAAGAACACGTTTATGCAAATTCCAATCAGTATCAATAAAATGTGCAGTCAGGCCCAAATAATGTAAATTATGATAAGTATCCTCCCAAATGTCAGAACAAATAGTTACACGGCCATCAAAGTTTGCAAAAAAAATTGTAACCTATCATTTTCCGCACGATAAAGCATTA